GGTTGTCACTGACAGAAGTCCTGAGAGTGAGGAGTTTCCTTTGCAAATGCTCTGATGGCCAGCCTGGGGAGTTCTTAGGGCAGCTGGGGTTAAGGAGGCTCAGGGCAGCACGTCCTGCAGCCTGGCTTCTGACCCTGTAAACGCCTGGTTTCTGCAGGCCTGCTCAGCAGGGCATTTTTTTGGGTGCAGGCCCACTGGAGGGGCTGGAAGTTTGATCTGACACCATGGCTGCCCATAGGGACTCAGTGACTGAATGATCATCCTCCTGGGTGTCAGGCCCTGGGCTGTGCTAGGGGACGCCCCACCTACCTAGAGATTGAGACAGTTGGAGGGAAATAAAGGCCTGACTCTGAAATATCCCAGAGGAGTGAGTGCTGGAAATAGACCAGCCGTCCCCACTTATTTCTGGATTCTCCAGGGCCAAGCCTGACCCTCGGCCAACCCCCTTCTCCCCTGTGCTGCAATCATTTATTCATCTGTTCCTTCACTCGTAATACATTTTAACTGAGTGCCTACCATGTGCTGGGAATACAGCAGTGAGCTAGACAGATGAAGTCTCTGCTCTCATGGAGCTGACATTCTGATGATGAAAGAAAATGTCAGTGGTGCCCAAGATAATTGTAAGTGGTGAAAAATAGTGAAGAGAATGGATTAGCGAGTGCCTTGGGGGTTTTACAGAGGGTCAGTGAGGGCCTCTCTGAGGAGATGATTTTGAGCTGGGACCTGAAGTTAGAAGATTGCTATCTCAGGCAGAGGGAACAGCATGTACAAAGGTCCTGAGACAGAGATGAGCTTAATAGTTTGCCAGGGAAGTAGGAGGGAAAACAGGACGTGGGAACTGAGCCTGAGGCCGGAATTTGGCTCCACTGGAGCCAGAGCCCCCTGGCCCCACTTAGTATATGCTGCCCAGTGTCCTTGGGTGACTTCCCTAACTCAGTCTCAGTCCCTATACCTATAAAGCAGGTATATTGAAAGTCTTTCTCTCTCAAAGGCTTAATGAGATGTTTGGGAAGCTTTTAGCTAACCCAAATTCCCAGGCAGGATGGGGGTGGGGAAGGGCCCTCCAGAGAGACTGTTTGGGGGCAGAGTGTTCTTTGGCAATTTTTCAAAGCTGCTGTTCCCGTTAGTTACATAGTTGCATGCGGATCCCTGAGGCTGTTGTGCAGAGCTCAGCAGGCAAAGATGCAGAGCACAGAGCAGCAGCCAGGGTATGGGGTGCTGACTTGTGGGGGGCTGGGCAGAGACAGGGGCTCCACTGAGACCCTCTCCAGCTCATCCCTCCACAGTGAGTCCAGCAAGTTAGGTCCTTAATCTCCCAGGGCCTCAGTTTCCCCATCTGTAATGTGGGACCCATCCCAGGAGCCCCAGACCCCCCATCTGAGGGTTTCTGGGGGGAATTCATGAGCTTGGAGGACATGCACTTAGCGTTGCTCCCTGTGGCCCATGAGGATGGAATTAATAACTGGAGAGACAGGAGTGGACGAGAAAGAGGACAGATCCTCTTCAGAAAAATGTCGCCCCTTCTCCTGGCCTTGGCATTTCCAACTGCAACGTGGTTGGTTCAGAGGATGCTGATGCTTCTGTCTCTACTTGGCTCTTTGAGGGGTTTCCGAGTATCCTCCTCGGAACATTACAAAGCTGACTGTCCCCTATGCCCCCAGCTTTAGCCAAAGCCCCAGGGCAACCCGTGCGAGGCAGAAGCTGGGAGAAGGAACCAGGACAAGAAACCGATGAAGATACCCCCAGCCCTCCTCAGTGCCAAATCCCAGAGCCGATCTCACTGAAATGCAAATCCTGGGGAGTGTTCTCAGGTGACATGGAGTGGGGTGGCTGCCGAGGAGGGCTCCCCAGGTCCCGCCCTCCCTTCCCTCCCGCACGCCTCTCTGGAGGTCTGGCTCTTTGCCTGTGGATTCCCACGGTCTGGTTGGTCAGCACCGGAGCTGATGCGGCTGGAATGGAAAGGGAGGGGTCATTGACCTGAGACCCTCTTCCGTTCCTAACTGCAAACTGCTCATCGCCCCTCCACACACACTTCCCTTTTTCCAGCTTTTGTCAGCCTCAGGTGCTCCCCTCCACCACATAAAAAAAGGAACATGAGCAGCCTGAGGGGGCCAAGAGGGACACATTGCTACAGGGGAGGCAGGCAACCCCTGCAGGCTGGCAGGAGCATGCCCGGGCCCCTGGAAACCGCATGGCCGCCTCCCCACCGCAGCCATTCCCCACTCCCCCTGGGGGTTCTCAGATGTTGGCAGATGGCAGAACTGAATCTGCTGAGACGTCGCTCCAAAAAAGGAAAGTTGAACTGAAAAAAAAAATTCAAACTCTCCTACATCTTAGGGGAAAGAGGAGGGAGGGAGGGTCCCAGTCTGGGGTTCCCAGTGCCCTCTGCTGTTTGAAAAGATCTCTCCAGGGTTGAGAGGGCAACTTGGGAGGGGCAAGGGTAAATAAGGACACGCAGTTGTCAGGGCGGCCGGCGGGGTTCCTGTCCGAGCTGGAAGCTCCTGCGTGTGCGCGGGCAAGTGTCCACACGTGTGCTTGTCTGTGACCCTGCCTGCTTGTGCAGTGTATGCGTGGCTACAGGCTTGCAGCATGGAGCCTGTGCATTTGTGTCCCCTCATGGGAATTCACGCAACAACACGTGGAGTCCTTGCTGTGAAAGGGCAGTGAGTGACTAGTCAGAAATCCTCGCCCTCTTGAAACTGACGTTCTTGTGTGTGTGCCTGCGTTTGTGAACTCCTGCCTGTGTCCCAGCGTTTGCTTATCTGTGGGTGACCTTATGTCTTAGGAGTCTATGCCCCAGGCTACTCTCAGTCTGCGGGAGGTTGCGAGTTTCCCCGCATGTTCTCCCGGGCTAGCTCTCCTTTCTGCGGAGGCCCGGTGTGTGAATGTCCACTGGTGAGAGTTCTGCGCCCGAGTGTGCCACATCTCCCAGAGTGAGCTCCACCGTGTGTGTCCCTTAAAGGCCCTGTGTGTGGCCCAACCCTTACACCCCCTCCCCATCCACTGGCCACTCCTGAGTTATAATTTAATAGCTGAAACGCGATTCCAGTGAATTATCTGGGGCTGGGGAGGAGGAGGGCTCTTGGCCCGCAGGAGGAGGAGGAGGGGGGCGGGATGGGGAGGTGCTTTCCTCATCCTTCCTCCTTCGGGGAGATGCTAAAAAGAAACTCGGCGACGCGCCCC